CACCAGTCGGCTCCACAATTGATAGGGCTTTTGGTTAGGACAAGTAGAGGAAAAAGGATGCTGCGGTAGGAGAAGACTCTATGATGGGGGAACACGCCCTCCAGAATTGAACAGGGGGCTTCCCATTAGGACCTTTGTGGCTCCTTGAGTGTTTAAAGTTACAGACCCCTGGTGTAGTGGTTAAAGCATCGGATTAGAAACTGGGAGATGTGAGTTCTAGCCCTGCCTTGGGCACAAAGCCAGGTGGGTGAGCTTGGACCAGTTATTCTCTCTGAGGCCTAGGAATCAGACCACGGCAAACCACTTCTGAAAACTTGTCAAGAAAATGTAAGGACTTGTCCAGGAAGTTGCCAGAAGCTAAGACGAACTTGAAGGCACATATAGACACACAAATAAAAACACAGAATGTCTTTCAACAGCCAGAAGTTGGAAAGACAAAATTTCCCACTGAATGTAGGACAAGAACTGATTTTAATAACTTATTTTGCAGCTTCGGTTGATAGGCGTTCAATCATGGAGATAATCAACCTCTGGAACAAGTTGGGTATGTTTTTTGGTGAGTACTCCATGCCATCCCTGGTGCCCTTTGTTCTCTTTCGTAAATGGAACAAGTGGGAATGTAATTGCACAAGAGGCAAGTCATCACATTCTGTGCTGATGTGAATGTAAAATATCCTTCTACGTTTGGCAGAAGACACAAGATTCCTGGCCGTAGCTTTATAACATTCTGGCCAGATAAATATTGCACAAATCAAGAAATCTTTGGAACTTTTCAACATGTTGCCTTCAATCGAGAGAAGGAGATTGTGTGGGGAAGTAGCCCCTGTCCAAGCTTTGAATAAAATGACACAATCTTAGTAGAAAAGAGAAGTGATAGACAAGAGGATCAAACATAAACAAGGGCAAGAGGACTAATAGATTAAGAGAAATAATGGACAGAGACGCTGTACATAAATCACAGACTCCTTTGGCTCATAATGCATAGGTTATTTGAAAGATGGTCTTGTTTAGTCATTGTATTTCATCACCGTTATTGTAATGGTATGTGAGGAAAACCTTGGGAGACTAAGCCAAGAGACATTGCCTGGGGAATTGTCAGATAACAGACAGTGTAGGTCATAACTGAATAGTGGCCAGAGTAAAAAGCTCAAAAGAGATTCTCCCTGGTTTCTTGGGCAATAAAGGAGATGGGATGGGGGAGGGAATTGTACTTTTAGTCTTGCAAGATTTGTCAACATAACACTACAATTAAGTAGAAGTAGCTCTTGAGCCATGGTAGCACAGTGGTTAGAGCAAGGGTGAAATCCAGTAGGTTCTGACAGGTTGTGGAGAACTGGTAGCAGAAATTTTGAGTAGCTTGGAGAACTGGTAGTGGAAATTTTGAGTAGTTCAGAGAACCGGCAAATGTCACTCTGGCTGGCCCCAGAGTGGGTTAGGAATAGAGATTTTGCAGTAACCTTCCCCTGGAGTGGGGTGGGAATGGGGATTTTGCAGTATCCTTCCCTGCCACCAAGCCACACCACACCCACCAAACCACGCCCACAGAACCGGTAGTAAAAATAATAATTGAATTTCACCACTGGGTTAGATTCAGTGCTGCAGGCTACTTCTGCTGACTGCCTGCTGCCAGCAGTTTGGCAGTTCAAATCTCACCAGGCTCAAGGTTGACTCAGCCTTCCATCCTTCCAAGATGGGTAAAATGAGGATCCAGATTGTGGGGGGGGGGGGCAATAGGCTGACTCTGTAAACCGCTTAGAGAGGGCTGTAATGCACTATGAAGTGGTATATAAGTCTAAGTGCTATTGCTGTCATAATTCCTGTCTGGTTCGTCCTGTGAGGCTGACGTCAATCTTGCAAGTGTGAAAATCCAATTGTTCTCGCCCCTCCTTTCCTATCCAAAAAAACTAGAGAGGGTCTCTACAGAGCCTCTTTCCCCATTCACTATTTAGCTGTGGGCTTTCTCTTATCTGACTGTTCCCTAGGCAGCAGCTCTCTGACCAAGGTTTTTCTCACATACCACCAGGTATGTTTTGAGATTATTTTAAAATGCTATAATATCTAAATTTTCCTGTTTCCCTACTTAGGAATTTTGAGTTGGTCTTTCTGGATCATGTTAAATGTCCTCTCCATCCCCGTTTCCTCAAGCCCATTAGGAAAAGAGTTTCTGACTGCATTCATGCAAAATGGTTACCCACGAAGGTTCCAGGGAGATTTTAAGCTTCTCATCACAGGTTCCGTTCAGTCCACATCTGTTACTATCTCCATGAAACAACCTGCGCTGAGGGTAACGGTCAACGCGAACGCTGGAGAAACACTCTCAGTGAAAATCCCACCAGAGGCTGAGATGGTTGGAAGCAACATTTTTGACAATACACTCACCATCCGGGCTGACAATGATATCTCCATCGTTTCCCTGTCCTACAAACCACAGTCCGCCGGCACCACTATTGTCTATCCCATGGAAAGCTTGGGTACTGAATACTATGTCGTGACTCCAAATGTGGGTACCGATCGCTACCGAGAATTTGCCATTATAAGCTGGGCAGAAACCACCTCAATTGATATCTACCTGAAAGGTCCTGTGACTTTCCGAGGGAGGTCCTACTTACGAGGAAGCAAGTTGACCATCTCCCTTAAACCTTATCAGGCTGCTCAGTTCCAAGGCGAGGTGGACCTCTCTGGTACTAAAATAGTCTCCCAGAAACCAGTGGCTGTCTATAGTGGACATACATGTGTCTCCAGGCAAATTCAGTGTGACCACGTCGTTGAACAGCTTTTGCCAGTGACAAGCTGGGGCACAAAGTTCATTGTTCCCTCTTTAGCTTTTAATACAGAGTTCGACATTGTGTATGTTTCTGCTTCCCAAAGCACTCAGGTTGATGTCCAATATGGACAAATCAAGACTGTTAAGATTGTGCCAGCTGCCCGGGTAGTATTTTATGGCATTCAAGGCACAACAGCCATGTCCATCTCAGCTAATTCTGCCATCCAAGTTATGTTTTTCAGTGACGGTGGCACCTTTGGGAATCTTAAATATGAACCGTTCTTCATGGCAATACCTGATATCTCCAGCTACTGCCTGGCCTATAACACCTATAGTAGTGACCAGTTTGAGAACTATGCCCTGATCATTGCCAAATCTTCAGAAACCTCCGGGATCACTGTGGACAGCAGGCCGTTGCATAGTCTGCAATGGCGCATAGTTTCTGGCACCGATTACTCTTGGGCTGCTCACAACTTAGGCCAAACCACAAATACCATCCACAGAATAGAACATCCCAGCTCCCCCTTTGGGCTGTTGAGTGTCGGGATTGCAAATGGAAAGGCTTGCGGTTCTCCTGCTGTTTGCACAAGTGGTAAGAGGGAATTGATTCTTTCTTTATAACCTTGACTGTGTTTCAGTGGTGGGTTGCAGGCGGTACGCCCCAGTATAGGCATACTGGAGCCTGCCCGGAGCACTGGGTACTATTCCGGTACAGTGCTCTGGAGGGTCCACCCACCTGCCCGAGCTCCTTACCTGTCCTTTAAAGCCTTCGGCGCTTCTGCTGGAGCATCGTGGAGGCTTGCAGAGGCATTGCTGGCAGGTACCACACATGTGCGCACCATGCTTATGTGCGTGCATACTATGCACGTCCATGTGGGCAATGCCAGGCCCGTTCCAACCGTACCAGTTGGAATGGGATCCGGACCCCACCACTGCTGTGTTTGCCCAATATGTGTTCACAGCCAGGTGAACAAAAGATGCTTTTGGATAACATGGTAAGCTTGATTAATACACAATTTGGTGTGGGGTTTTTTTTTGTGGCTTAGAATCTTTATTACATGAATCCCACCCATTTGGTGGGTCCATGATTTAAAGCATTCTGCAGAGATGGGGAATGAATTAATTCAGTAATCAGATTCAATATAGTGTTTTAAGATTATATTTCTTTCTTCCTTTAATTGACCTTTGCCTAACCTGACGCCTTTCAGATATATTGGAGTATATTCTTGTTATTTATCCTATATGTGAAAGGCTTTTTAATCAACCTGACATATGTTGCATCAGCGTGATGCAATATTATGCAATGTAATACCCTGTTTCCCTGAAAATAAGACCTCCCCGGATAATAAGCCCAATCAGGCTTTTCAGTGCGCACTAAAATACTGAGGGGAGGGGAGCCACAGGGGTAAAGTTCAGGCACCATTAACTGGAAATCAGATTCGGCTCGGCAGAAGAACATGCCAAAATATTGCTCCTAATAAATAGCAATAGCAATATAGCAGTAG